TTTACTTTTTAAGTGTTATTTTATTACAGGGTGATTTTAATAGTTCTGCAATTCGTTAAAAAAAGATCTAAAAAACTCACCCTGTATGTTTACACTTCTTTTTGACTAAAATCCTCCATATTAAAAATTTGTTTTTATTTTATGATACAAAGTGTACAAATTACCATTTGTGCGCAGTTTCCAGTTCTTGCTAAAATCATTCTTGCGCAGGGGCCCTTGCTAATACATATACCACCCTCCAATAGTAATAAATATTCAGTAATATAAAAATAAGTACCAATAATAAACACCATTCTTGCGCAGGGGCCATATATACTGAACAAATTACAATAAAATACTGTGCAAAACATTATATTACACTAATCTTTTTAAATTTTTTTCTGTGCAAAAATCAAATAAATACTGATCATCTATCTTTTTATAATGGTCAAAATTGAATTATTCACTGACCCTCTGTATTTTTTCCACAAAAGCAACTCATGTTTTGTTTCTTCTAGACACTGTAATTTATTTACTACAAAAAATAAAGTGTATGTGCGTGAACATAGTTGTTAACAGATTATTACGTTTATTTAATGTATCTAATAAAGTTGACCTTTGTTTTTAATAATTCAGTTTTGTACATTCTTTGTCATTTTACTAATTAAATATGCACACTGTAAACTCCAAGAATTTTCCCTCTTTTACAAATCATCAAGAATTTTTCGAGCGTTTTTGTCAAGATTTACTTGAAGACCTTGAGCACTAACAATTACCGATCAAGTTTATACCATCGCAGGTCGGTATTGATTTCAAAAATTTTTTTATTAAAAAATAATAAGAAAAAAACTTGATTGCAGGTACAAAAAAAATCCCTTTATAAACGTGTTTTTTTGAACTGTGCTACGTCAATAAACTGCAAAATTTGGTTCATTGTTTCATTAGTAATAAAAAGCAAGTTAACCTTGTAATTCAAAGTGTGATGTAATAAAAAAAAACACAAAACTAATAAAATTAGTGTTTTTTCTATACGAAACAAAGGCACTTCAGCAAATGAAAGAAGAAGGTTTCCAATCCTATAGTTTTTTTTTATTAAATGGCACACCCTGTACATATTTACAAACATTATCTAAACCACACAATTTGATAGCCAATTATCAAATTATTAAAAAAAAAAACAAAGTTTTAGATACTAATTGCTTCTCTTACCAATTTGTAGTACTATTATTGTCACAATAATCTGTATTATGAATGAGGAAACTGGGAAAAACCTTTTCCTCATTAATACTTTTGAACGTCATACCGCAAATGGCTTCCACTTTACTTTTCCTTATTTGTATGCACATTAGGCTCGGTATTTCACTATATGATTAAACTAAATAAATATGTTGTTTTATTGATTTGTATTTCCTACTCCATGTGTGTTTTTTTAAGAAATTAGCACTGTGATGATATCAAAACCGGTTAATTAATAAAATATTAAATTTAGGAAAACAAGTAGCCAATAAATTAGTGATCCAGTTTTTAAGCCTTGGTAATTCACTTTCCCGTGACAATTTTTCGGGAAGAAAATAATTGATTCAAAAATAATTTTCAGTTATAGTTCTCGCTTCCGGTTCGGACTAAAACTTTTTTTATTTGTAATAATTGTGGCTTAATTTCTTAAATATTGTTCCTTTTCCGGTTTTTTGTTGTTTTGTTGTACCACTTTGAGAGCATTTGCAAGAAAATCGTCCTTCAGTTTGAAATTAAATTAATTTCAATAAAAAAAACTGTTTAAATACACAAAAGAACATGACTCACAATGGGTTAAAAACTGTCTTATTTAAACTTCAGTTACATTAATTTATTTTAAAAATTCTTTATCTAAGTAATAAATAAAATTTTCAAAAAAAATTACAAGTACCAAAATTAACTTTTCTAAAAATAGTATAAAAAATGAGCACGTGAGTGGAAACCATAATACGAGTAATTCTCAACCGTTAATCGTTTCTCACAAAGCCAGAAGAAGAACTTGTTGGTGCGTAAAACCCGATTCTGGATTTCCCTACAAAAACTTTCAGTGCCCTAAATGGGTATCTGGGAATCCCCGAGTATTCGAGTTCTTTCAGTAGTTATGTTTTCAACTCTTTGTGCAAAATATTTTCTTCTTGACATTGACAGTTGAACAAGGTTTAACAAAGGTTAAAAAATTGTCACTTAAGCTTTCCTCTTCAGTTCTGAAACTCTTAGTAAGCAATATGATTAATTTGAGATTATTTTTGATTTTTGAATGATTTTTTTCGGTAATTTTAGTGTGACGTTTTCAGATACTGAAAAATTTAAGTCAGAACTAAATATCAAAATGCAAGATTTTTAAAAATCATACTTGGATTTTTTTTATTTTAGAGAGTCTTACTGTTTTGAAACACAAGAAAATAACTTTAAATTGATACAAAACAGGTTATATTTTTCAAAAAAAAAGTAGCGAAAACAAATAAAATTGCCATAATACACGGAATAACAAATCTTTTTGCCAAGTAACATGATGCAACATTTAATTTTTTGGAAGCAATTTTTCTCATTTTTCATTTTTTACGAGTATACTCTAGCTGGAAATAATAGATTACATACATACTGAGGTGGTAGGTGCGCTGAGATATGAGATTAGTATACTATTTTATGCACAATTATTCACCTTAAAGAACAGAAACCCAATAAAAAAAAATTAAGTTTTGAAAAACATGACATATGACATTTCAAGTTGGGAAGTGGCTATTTCCCAACCTAAACTGTATATTTTATATCAATTGTTTTGCACAAAAAACAAAATTTTTAAAAATAATACTAAGACTTTTTTTGAAGCACAAGAAAATAACTTTAAATTGATACAAAACAGGTTATATTTTCCAAAAAAAAGGAGCGAAAACAAATAAAATTGTCATAATTCACGAAATAATAAATCTTTTTTCCAAGTGACATGAAGCAACATTTATTTATTAGAAACTGTTTTTCTCATTTATTAATTTTTTATGCTTTAGCTGGAAATAGTAGATTACATACTGAGGTGGTAAGTGCGCCGAAGTACGATGAAGCAACGACCCCCAAAATTCGTATACTATTTTATGCACAATTATTCACCTCAAAGGACAGAAAGCCAATAAAAAATTTATCAAATTTTGAAAAACATGACATGACATTTCAAGTTGGGAAGTGGCCAATTCCCAACCTAAAGTGTATATTTCATAACAATTGTTTTACACAAAATGCAAAATTAAAAAAAATAATACTTAGACTTTTTTCGAAGCACAAAAAATAACTTTAAATTGACACAAAACAGCTTATATTTGTCAAAAAAGTAGCAAAAACCAATGAAATTCACGGAATAATAAATCTTTTTTCCAAGTAACATGATGCAACATTAAATTTTTTGGTAATTATTTTTCCTATTTATTTATTTTTCACTCTAACTGGAAATAGTAGATTACGTACTGAGGTGGTAAGTGCGCCGAAGTACGATGAAGCAACGACCCGCAAAATTCGTATACTATTTTATGCACAATTATTCACCTTAAAAGACAGAAAGCCAATACAAAATTTATCAAATTTTGAAAAACATGACATGACATTTCAAGCTGGGAAGTGGCCATTCCCAACCTAAAGTGTATATTTCATATCAATTGTTTTTCACAAAAAGCAAAATTTAAAAATAATACTAAGACTTTTCTTGAAGCACAAGAAAATAACTTTAAATTGATACAAAACAGGTTATATTTTCAAAAAAAAGTAGCGAAAACAAATAAAATTGTCATAATTCACGAAATAAGTGACATGATGCAACCTTTATTTTTTGGAAACTGTTTTTCTAATTTATTCATTTTTTATACTTTAGCTGGAAATAGTAGATTACATACTGAGGTGGTAAGTGCGCCGAAGTACAATGAAGCAACAACCCTCAAAATTTGTATACTATTTTATGCACAATCATTCTCTTTAAAGGACAATAAAGAATTTATCAAATTTTGAAAAATATGACAACTCAGGTTGAGAAGGGGTCATTTTATCAGTTTTCAGGTTGGGAAGTGGCCATTTCCCAACCGGAACTGTATATTTTATATCAATTGTTATTTTTTTTACATGCAAAGTAATTTGATTATTACCTTATTATTGCGAATAAGGAATTTTACCCATTGTTAAAGTGATTCAAAATTTCTGTGTCCGATAAAAATCAAATTAAATTAAATTAGTATTAATTAGTACGGAGTACTCCCATGTCAATCAGTTGTATGAGTAATAAAATTACTTGTTTACAAATAGAAAATTTTTCAATTTTGTTACGGCGAATAATAAAGCAATTTAAAACAACAGAAAAAAAATGAAAATATTCCTGTACAAAAGCGAAGATTGTTAATTTAAAATCTTTCCACTGTTAAATTCATCTGCGTTCCTTTATTTTGCAAATTTTTGAAGTTTCACTCAAGCATTAACAAAGGAAGGTCGTAAATTCAGAAGGTTTGTATTGGAGTTTTTTACAATAATCTAATAATAATAATAATTACAATAACCCAATAAAAAATTGGGTTGAACTTGCAGAGATTTTTTCGATAAATGCAATAAAAATGAACTAATTAAAACAAAGTAGGACAATTATTTATTGGGTAATAAAAGTAACTGTTGCAATTTTAATACCAATCAATTGCGCTTTTTGTAAAAATTTCTTTAATTGTTATTATCAGTGGGAATAAATAAAATTTTTATTTTGATTGATAAAACAAGTGAAAGCTTGACCTTTCTTTGCGATAACACGATTATCGAAAATTTCGAAGGCGGAAAAACACGCAGTCTTCGGAATCGCTTCTTGAAATCCCGACCAAAACAAGTGCGGGAGTTCCACATGATGACACACATGGCAGGCCTCCTCCAGAGCCTTGGGGATCCCCTGACGCAGGCGTGACGCTCGCTTTTCGCAACAATGAAAGGGCCGGAGGCCGCGTGGGGACGGCCCGAGGAGGGGTTCACCTACATATAACGTTGCCCCCAGAGCTCCAAACACACCTTTTGCTTCAACTCACCAGAAGCGTGTAATTCGAAGCTCTTCGACAGACGGTTTCAGTCACAATCGTGGTCGAAATCACGCTTTCAAATTATACGCGATACCAGCAGTGAAAACTTAGTGCTTTCAGGCTGATTTTTTTTCTTTTTTGAAAATTTTGAAATCATGGCTGCTGTGGCTGCTGCTCAGAAAAATCGCGAAATGTTCGCGATCAAAAAGTCCTACAGCATCGAGGTAAGTGATTTTCCTTCACTAATTTTATTTCACATCAAATCAAAGAACAAGTATTTTAATAACCACCATTAGACAGATTAGATAAAATTCGAAACTAATTTTTTCATCATTAGAAACATTCTTTCTGATTTTTAATCCAATTGTCCAAATTGGCCTTGATATTTATGAGGCAAATTAGTCAATTAACGACATTCTAATGCAATTTAATAAATATGTATGTTTTACAAAAATTTCATTAAAAATTGAAGATTGCAATGGATAATAGTGACAACCTTCAGACAGATTGCAACACAGTCGAGGCAAAATTGAGATTTTCTGTTTCTATGTTTTTTAAATTAATTGTCGCAAATTGTTATCTCAGTATTATTACATGAAACAATTAACAATTTAATCATTACAACTGGGGTCCAAGTAAAAACTCCAATTTGTTTTTTGTGTTTTCTGAAAATTTTATTTTTATTTCTGGAAAATTTAGTCTAAAAAAATAGTAAAAAAGATTTTCAAGTTACAATATGTGCTTATGTTTACCCTATTTAGTTTTTAAGATAACTAATTGTCAAGAATAAAATGTTTCAATTTTTTTTGTTATTGAGTTTCTGGAAATTTTTATTTAAAAAAAAAACCCACTATAAACTTTTTTTTACAAAAGCGACCTAAGGATTACAATTATTTACATTTAATTCGATTTTTATCGAAATTGCTATTTTGAAAAAAAACGCAAAACTCATAACCACAACAAAACTTCATTCTCAAAAGTGATCAAATTTTTAATTTTTGTTAATTATTATTTTCTGATTTAAAAACATAGTTTTTGTTCACCTTTTAGGTATAATTTTAATTTAAATAAACAAGTCTGACGTTTTTTAAACATTTCTGCCCAAAAAAAGGATTAATGCAAAATAAAGAAAAGTCTGCACTAATCTAAAGAGAGTAAAAACTAATGTAACAACACTTAAATTTGTTGGAAAAATATTATGGTTCACAAACGTTTAATTTTTGTATTGTTTTCTTTTTATTCTGTAATTTTTTAGAAAAAATTTGGGCGAAAATCTGAACTAAGCTACATAACTATAAAAACCAAAAAAAAAAACAATAAAAAACATTTTTTTCTTTAGTTTTGTATTGTTCCACTGTTTAAATTGCTGTATTTTAAAAGAAAACATTTATTTTCCGTCTTAAAATTGAGACAAATCGATTGGAAATGGCACAAATTGTTTCATTTTGACCTAAAATTAGATTTTAAACAAACACTTTTTTAAAATACTTAATTTAAAATGATGTCTGTGTTAAAATCGAGCAAAATTGGATTGGGAATAGCTCAAATTATTATTATTTTTTCAGAAAATTGTTGTTTAAGCATTTATTTTGTTGAAATGCTTTGATTCATGTTTTTGGATTAAAGTTAAGTTAAAGATAAAATGCAATATTTTAGCATAAAATTGAGATTGAAGCAATTATTTTTGTAAAATACATTAATTCAGAATAAATTCTGTATTAAAATCGAGAAAAATCGTATTGAAAGTAGCTCAAATTGCTTTATTTTGACGAAAAACTGTTATTTAAGCATTTATTTTGTTGAAATACCTTGATTCAGGTTGATTTCCCGCTTCAACCTGAGCAAAATCGATTTGGAATTGCACAAATTGCCTTATTTTGACATAAAATTTTTTAATTTAATTTAGAATGATTCCAGTGTTAAAATTAAGCAAAAAAAGATTGAAAATAGCCTAAATTGCTTTATTTTGAAAGAAATCTGTCATTTGAGTATGTATTTTGTTGAAATACTTTGATTCAGGTTGATTTCCGGCTTAAAATTGAGCCAAATCGATTGAAAATAGCAGAAATTGCTTCATTCTGGCCTAAAATAAAAAAAAAAATTAAAAATATTTTAATCATTAAAAAACATTTTTTTCTATTGTTTTCTTCTTATATTGTAATTTAAAAAAATTTTTGAAAAAATCTATAAGCAAATGTGAAAATAAAAACAGTTGTTTTAACTATTAAAAAACATTTAGATTTTCTAAACAGCGTTTAGAAAAAAAACTAAATTTTGACCTTAAAACAGTGAAATTAAAAGAGAATCAAAAGACCAATAATTTCTTTTTTGTCTTGAAATCAAGAATTATGAAAAAAATATGAAATTTGATAATGTACACAAATTTTTTATGTACTCAAATATTTTTTAAATTTCTTTTTATCAAAAATCTTGTCGTTTACGCTCAAAATTTTTGGAAAAATCTAAAAAAAATGTGAACATAAAAACAGTTATTTTAATTATTAAAAAACATTTGGATTTTCTGCGTTTGCAATCAAAATTTTAAACCGAGTTAAATATTTTTTTCAAACTGAAACCAAACCACACAAAGGCACTAAATTACGTACAAATGTAAAAAAAAACATTAAAAACCAATAACTGTAATTTAATTTATTAAAAAAGTATTTTGATTTAATTTGCATGAGTTTCAAGGTTTTTATCATTTGCTTCCACATATTTTACAGTCAAGTGTCCACTAGTCCAATTAAAATAATCCAAAGGCTTTTTTGATGTTTATATAAAAAAATATTCTTGTCTTGGTGTAAAAAAGCGTTAATAAATGCTAAAATCCGGTTGGAGCCAGATTTGGGCTTTCGAAACGGGTTAAAAATTGGCCAATTTCGTGTACTTTTTGCCTGCAATATATCCTTTATCCTTCGTACCTTGCATTATTTACCCGAAGATAAAATCTGATTAGCGAAAGTGTAGTTACGACACTAAAGTTCCGTCCACATACATTAACACAAAAAATGAGCTGTAATGATAATTATTTTAATTACAAGGATACTGATTAAACTAAGATCATGGCCGGAGAATGCATAAAAACCTAAGGCAATGTAAATGTCCCATGACCTTGCTCTGAGGGCATTCTTGCTATCCCCTCACTCGTAAATACCCCATTGAATTTAAATAAATTAACTTTCATCAAGTTCTTGTCCCGTTTCCGGACTTTAACTAAACTTGAGGGCAATTTCCGCCGTTTCCTTCTGCCCGAGACAATGCTTTTTAACAAGGGATTACTTCCAGAACGGTTATCCAGCCCGTCGTCGCTCCCTCGTCGACGACGCCAGATTCGAGACTTTGGTGGTGAAACAAACCAAGCAATCGGTTTTGGACGAAGCGCGCCAAAGGGCCAATGGTAACTAAAAAACTGTCGTTTTGCATGATTTGCATGTTTGTTGTCAGATTCTAGCGTTGATCCTGAAATTGAAGCGACTCAAAAGACCCTTGAAGGCGGCGAAGAAGGTGAGTCCCACACTTTTTAAAAGGCAAAAGAAAGATTAATTGCATTTTTGAAGTACTTTAACGTAATTGTAGTAAAGTGCGAGTTGCACAAAGCCGGCAGGCAGTCCGGCTTTTATAGAATTTTCACCCTCCATTTGTCGCGATTCAAAGTTAAGCCGTGAAAATATGGCTGGAGAAAATAAAATAATAACCCAATTCTGTGCTATTTCCGCAGATTCTGGACTGACTGAAGAGGAAGTCGTCCTTTCTAATGCCATTTCTGAAGGACCCGAAGCTGAGAAAGCTTTGCAACGAGCCGCTTTAATCCTGCGTCTACGCGAAGGAATGAATTCCTTGTCTCGAGTCCTCAAGAGTGTTGAGAAACACCAAGGAGTGGTGTGTCATTTGGAGACGAGGCCCAATCAAAGCGATAACAACCAGCTGGATGCTCTTGTTAAGGTGGAAATGACGCGAGTTAGTCTTTTGCAACTGATCAAGTCGTTGAGACAATCCAATTCTCTTGAACATGTTACTCTCATTGGGGAGGATAATATTTCGGTGAAGAATCCATGGTTCCCGAGACATGCCAGTGATTTGGATAATTGCAACCATTTGATGACGAAATATGAACCAGATTTGGATATGAACCATCCCGGATTTGCCGATAAGGAGTATCGCCAGCGGCGCAAGGAAATTGCTGAGATCGCCTTCGCCTACAAATAGTAAGTCCCAAAAAACTAAATTTTGACCTTAAAATTGTGAAATTCATGAAAAAAAATTACGAGTTTTAATCTCTTTTAAATTATTTTTTGACAAAAAGCCCAAAATTGATTTATTATAAATAATTTCCTTGTTATATTTTATTGAATCAAAAAATTGTGTTTTTTGTTTCTCTTTTTTCTCTTTTCTTTATTTTTTTGTGATTAGGCAAGTTATGTTATTCAAGTATTACAAATCCTATTTTCCTGTAAACAGATATTTGACAACATTGAAATATATTTAGTTCAAATTTAGTATTTATGACTTTTTCAATTTTTGTCATTGATTTATTAAATTAGGCACCATGAAGTTTATTTAACTAAAAATTGTTGTTTAATTTACAAAAATAACAAAAGTATTTAATTAAGATTAGAACAATTTATTTTATCATTACTGAATTTTATTTTTGAAGAAAAGGCTCTTTCAAATTTCTTGTTATGAATTTCTCGAAACTGAAGAAACAATCTAAGTATTCTTTTGTAAGTTTCATTAAACAAAATAAATGAAAAATTCAAGTTTTTTAAATAAACAACATTGAGTTATTTTCACAAGATAGACCTTTTTTTGTTATTTTGTAGTTTAAGTAATTTTTTATACATTTGTAGCTCTCAAAAAAAACTTTATACGATTTAGGTATCGGTTTTGCGCAACTACAGCTAAAAGTACAAATTTTGACAAAATTAAATAAAAACAATAAATTTTTAGTTTTGCAAAATTTCCTAGTTTTCTGCATTTACGACAATTTTTTTTTATTTTTGGGTGTACTAAAAACATAAAATTCGATAGAATAAATCAATTCTTTATCGCTTTTGTAGACATTTTCTTAAAAAAATAAAACACTGGATGTAGGTATAAAAACTATTTAACATAATTTTTCATTTTGTTTTTTTTTATTTTTTGAGTATTGTTTTCTAAATATTTTTGAGCCTGATAGACGACAAATTTAAATGAGTTATTTTCTCCAAAAGTGATATAACCTCAAAAATAACAAAAAGTAAGTAAAATAATCAAACCATCACATTTCACATGGACTCAAATCCGGCCACCACAATAACCAAATTCGCTAAACAACGAGAAAAAATTTAAAAAAAAATCGTAAAAAGGCAAACTTCACAAAAATAACAGATAAATTGTTTTAATAACCAAAAGTGATATAACTAAAATAACAAAAAGTAAGTTAAATAAATCAAATTAAATGCTTATGAAGAGTCAGAAAAACTAAAATAATTGTTGGGGGTGGTTAAATCGCCTTAAAATAACGACAGGCCATCACATTTCACATGGACTCAAATCCGGCCACCATGTTGGCTAAATAACGAAAAAAGATCAAAAACACTGAAATATTATAATAAAGGCGTAAAAACGCATACTTTTAAAATTAATAAATCGTTTTAGAGAAGAAACGCCACAAAATGGACTTGTAATTTAAGTAATTTTTTCACATTTGTAGCTCTTAAAATTTAAAAAAATTTCAAAAAAACCTTATACGATCAAAGCCCCACTTCAATTCAAATATACAGTGTGTCTTCATGTAAAAGATAAAAAATTCTCGATTTAAATTTTCATATTTGGGGCTAACGACTAATTTCTAACAAAATTTTAGTTTTAGAAATTAAAAAAAAAATTCTATGGAATAAAGTGCCTTTTATGTGGCAAATACGACAAAAACTTATTAAGAAAAGTAATTTAAAATCAAAGAATTTTCTTTTTTTCTTTTCACAAAATTGTTATTTATTAGACGATAAAGAAATTGTTTATCTACGAGTGAAAAAGCTAACTTGGTAGTGACAAAGTCACAAGTAGACTTTTTTACGAGTAGATAATATTTCGTTTTATTTTGTATTCCCTTACCAGAATTAAATAAAAAAATCAAATAAAAAAAATTAAAAAAATTCTCGATTTAAATTTTCATTTTTGGGGTTAAAGACTAATATCTAACAATTTTAGTTTTGGGAATTTTTACAAAGACTTGAAAAGTTGTTCAGAATCAAAGAATTTTATTTCTTTCAAATTTACAAAAAATATAAACAGTATATAAAAATTACTTTATTTCACTATACGATAAAAGAATACTTTATCTACTGAAATTAGTTGATAAAAACATTCTTTAACGTTGATTACAAAATAAAAGTTATACCGTGCGATCAAAAATA